TGTGTGTGTGTGTGTGTGTGTGTGTGTGCACTCGATTTTTCTCGGTTTTCGTTGTCCCAAGCTATGACGACCAGAACGTTTGTGATGATTAAGATGTTTTTGTAAACAATATTTCGTGTCAGGATCGGTGGAGCTCCTCAGTCATCATCTGATTTATTTTCTCCCTGTACACTTTTTTTGTTCTGTACAGATGAAAATTGGAAAGTTTGTTAATAATAATAAAGTCTGCAAGGTTTCTATTCTACTGTTATGTCTGTTGATTTCATTTTATTTCAATGAAAAGTATTACAATAGCAATACAGTTATGAGAGGCTTTTACTGCAAGTGGAATAACTGCCAGAATAATACAAATAAAAACATGTTCTAATTGTGCTGTAACACTAAAATTAAGCCAACATATCCTCGATATAGTAAGAGCTGCTTTGTTGAGGTAGCAGATATCCAGAATCTGTAGCAGTGACCAGGGAGTGAGGCCTATTCATCTGCTGATACCAAGTGTCAATCATGACGTCACAGCCCGATTTCAGATCGTCAAATAATGAATAAAAACAAATTAAGCAGAAATATGGAAACTCAAACATACATCAGTGTGGTAACTACCTTTAAATGACATGAGCTCACTGCAGGGGGCAATCAAGACACTTTGGCTTCACTTTTGGAAGCCATCATGTCGTCCAGCTTTATATCCAGTAGTTGGGTGAAAAAACAGCACCTACTGTTGAGGCAGGGAATACATCACAACTATCCATATATCTATCCACTATCAACTCTCCTTGCAGCAGAAAGAGAGACCTTCTTTTTTCTTGTTCAAACTTGATGCCCACTTTACCCACAACACATTTCTACAACTGCAGGTTCATGCAGCGGTCGGGGATAAGCTCACTTCTATTTACCTCCTCTTCTTATTTATAAATGTGTAGACTTCAGACCAAACCTACACTGACTCAGGTGACATCACTTGAGGACATATATAAACCTCCACACAGCCCCCCCCTGGAGACATTGTATTCAACGGACAGACTCAGGAAGTCTTTTGTCCCCCTGGCCGTACAACTCTTCAACTCGTCCCAGAGATGGACAGCTGACATGGACTTTTGGACATGAAGCAGCCTCTCTGAACTCTCACTGTTCACATCTCTGTTTTTCAAGTGATTGACATACTGTGTGTATTGTCTAGTGATTCAGTTTCCTGAAGACAAATCCCAGAAGACAGGGTTCAGTCATTATCAAGCTACAACTCTTGCTTGTTTTTTTCCCAAGTGACGACTTGTCAGCAGCAGCAGGAAAACAACATGCAGACAATAACTGTAATACTGTTGCAGCTTTGTCTTTAAATATGTTTGACTATAGAATGTCAGAAATGAAAAATATTTGCTCTGAAGAAACTGAAGGAGGCGTCTCTGGTAACTGAATTACAGTGATTTTCACATTCCAGCCCACGATTGTTTGAGTGTTTTCTCTTCCTTCCCTCCTGCAGCCGCTGGTCTTGGTTTGTTACACTGTGGAATCAAATGGTTCTTGTTGCTGCACTCAACATTTGACCTGAAGGGAATCATCATCATGACCATTTTAATGTTGTTATAAGAACTTTAACCCACATGATCACATGATACTTTGACAATTGAAAATGAGATGATAAATAAATGTCATTATCAGATAATTTTATTTTGACTAAACTAATGTTAAGTCTGTTGAAAGGAGATATAAAACCAAACGAATGCACTGATAGATGCTGTGTTTGTAGTGTGTCTCTGAGAGACAGTTTCAGTCAGTCACTCACTTTGGTCCAAACTATCTCAGTGTGTTAACAGACTGCTGTGACATTTGGTTCAGACATTCGTGGTCCTCAGAGGATAAATGATATTTCGCTGGCACCAACATGAGGTTTATATATACATGTTTGTTTGTGTGCGTGTGTAATTTCTCAACTGTAAGATGGATTGCCGTAAAATGTTGTTCAAACATCCGTGTTCTCCTGCAGATGAATTATCAGCAGTAGTACGGGTCACTGGTGTTACAGGTCACTGTGACACCATTTGACTGTCAGGATTTCATATGCGGCTGTTGTGGAGGTGGAGAATGAAACACTCCTTTGACTCTGTCATCCTCGTCACGACTCTCTTGTCACATCTGCTGGGCTTCGTGATCTCATGTGATCGCTGAATACACGTTTATACAACACATTTGAGATCATGTCTACCATCGACATATAATGTAAATTCAATCTTTAATCCAGTTCATATCTGTTATTACATGTTTGACACGAGTGAAAAGGTCCAGGTTCTGGCTTCCTTTCTTTTTCGGCCTCATCTGAAGGTGATGTGATCGGTGTCTTGTTGGCTCATGTTGCTGCGCTCCTTCACAAATATTCAATCACTCATTCCTATAGGATGTGGTCTCTGTATGATTCGTTCATCCTCATAGGATTTGTCTAAAAATATAGATACCATATAGTATGTGTACTCTTCATGCAGCATACATGTGTGTGAGAATGTGTCCGCAGACATTCAGTGTAAACACGTGTCTGTATGTCTGGTCTGTGCCTTCTTTAGGCTGTCTCACAGATCCGTGTTAAATTCTTCAGGCCCACAGACTGAAACGCGTCGACCTCGCAGCTTCTGTTGAACACAATGTAAATGTCTCAAAACATCCAAATTCACATCCAGGAGTATTCACGGCCTCTCACACGACAAAGAACAGAATTAAAACATGCATGTGTCACGATGACGGGGTAAACATGTTTATTCTATGTTGAACGAGGTTATTTTAGCAATATAATGCGAATGAGGCAAAGCACACATTCTCAGCACTGTGGGAAAAAAAAGAAATATTCATAGTCCCAGTTTGTGACGCTCATGCATTTTCACATTCAGATCTTATAGCTGAGCATTAATCATCTGAAATAATAATAATAATAACTTTATTTGTATAGCACATTTCAATACCAGTAACAAAGTGCTTTACAACAAACAATATGAAATTCTCAAACAGCAAACTGCTGTTAATTCAGCAATTTACATTGGAGCCAGAATCTGAGCAACCCACATGCTGATTTCTCTTTGAAAGTGTTTCTCCTCCCAGAATAAATCATTTGTTGGAGTCTCTTTAAAACTGGCACATGTCTGTTGACCAAAGAAAAGCTCAAACACCATGACGTCTACAGAGAATAAGATTTATGGAGATATCAGGCTGAGCTGAAAAAGGGCTCGGTGCCTTACACAGAAAGGAGTTCAGCATGTTTCCTCACAACTATTTAGAACCTTATCATTGTGTAATATATTTATTGAATTTCTCCCATTGGTCCAATTGAGATAAAACATCTCTTCTGGTCAAGAATTAAAATGTTTTGAAAATAAATACAAGCAGTGAGAGATTCAACAAAGACACACAGTGAACAGACTACAGACACAGACTACAGACACAGAAACACACAGGCAATCAATAACAAACATACAAATATACATATCACATATTAAAAGCAATGAAAGTTCAATGAAAACCAAATAAAAAGGCAAATTAGCCCCACAAGATTATAAGATTACAAGCGCATAATACTGTAGATACTGAAGTTGCAATCAAGGGAATATATTCTTCGCAAAATGTTTCCGTACCATAGTGCCAAGATCACGTGAACATGAACAGACCTTTCAAACTCTTCTGTCGATCCAGCTCTGCCCAGTGGAACACTTTACAAACTGGTTTTATTAAGGTCAAGTCACAAAAATCTGGAAATACTCACATTTTAAAACAAATCTGGGACCAGTGAATTAATGACAATTTTGGTTTAAGATTAAAATATAAATTATAAATTGATAATGTAATATTGCTGCCTGGACTTCATTAGTTGTAATAGCATCAACTGATCAAACAGAGACATTGATGCACCTTTAGTGTAAACTGCTGTTGCACTGTAGTGACCGGCTCTCGTCAGGTCAGTCTCACTGGGACCACCAGCGGCCCTTTCACGGCTCTTGCTCTCCATTTCAATAAAGGCCAAAAATATCAGTGAAAAAAGAAAGAGAAGAAAACAACCTGTTGGGTTTAGATGAACTTCTAGGCACTGGATAACTGAGGTCTAAAAGAGTTCAACAGATACAGTTAATCACCTACACAGAGGCCGGAAAGACTAAGTGGTTTGACCCCCCCCACCCATCTATCCTCCAGTTAGAACTCGTACGAGGAAACAAACAGCGTGACCTTTGTGAGGTAGCGGCCCAGCAGGGCGTTGCGCTCCAGCTCGCTCATCTCCACCTCAGCCTCCAAAGTGGCGGGACCCTTTATCGGCGTCACCAGGAGGAGGGTGCCAGTCTGTCGGCCTGAGCGCTGCACGCTGAAGTGGCCCCGTCCGCGGCCGCCCGCCAGGCCGAAGCGCAGAGTGTCGCCCAACACGCGAGCCGCCGACACCCGGAAGAGGACCCGAGGGGCGGACATGTTGGACACCACGGAGAGGAAATGGAAAGAGATTGAGTTTGGCGCCTGAGTGCACGCCTTATCTCCCAGCATGCATGGGTTCCTCTCACAGCGCCTGGAGAAGGTGAAAGATAAAGAAAGGCTTTGTCTTTATTCACAGAGGGATAAAACCATCAAAGCTTTAATGACACAGAAACTTCTGGCAGTGACAATGGTGACAGAAGAGGGAGTAACAATAATTACACTCAGAATATTCATATATAATAATAATAATTTAGATTTTGCCAAACATTTACTGTATACAGCTTCTCAGATATGAGAATTGAATTTTGAGCTGTTGTTTGGACATATCGAGGCATTTGAAGACATCACACTCGATAGTTGGAAACTATAATGACAAAGTTTATTGATGGTGAAATAAAGATGAACGTACTGGTTAAAGAATAGATCTGTTGATTAGTACATTTATTGTGAGTTGCAGGGAAAAAAAAAAAAAAAAACCTTCAACATCACTTTATTCTATTGTCAACATATAGGGCAAATCAAAATGATGAATCGGTGAAAAGTCAGAGGATCGGTAATTTCATTGGAGCGAGCTGCCGAATGCTGTCAGAGGCGGCTCGTTCCTCTGTCTCCGCTCAGAAATCCTAACTAGCACTTTACAGTGTACTTCTTTACCTGCACTTTGTCCTATTGGACAGATTTACTCAATGAAGACTCCTACTGCACAGAAGCTTTGTGTTGTCCCTCAGTTTTAATTGTCTTTGGATAAAAGCATCGACCAAATGAATATGTGTAAAGTAAACTTTGGCCTAAAAAACGTTCTGAAACATACCGTTATAATTGAGCTGCCGGAATAAATCAAAACTCAGGCAGCCATATTTAGTTCCCATCCACGACCATAAACATGCTTTATGCCTCTGGACCAATCAGCTGATCACCTGACTGGAGCCTGAAGGCCCGGCAGGGCGTCTGCAGAGCGCCAAACCTCAGTCTGCCTCGCAGCTCGGTTGCTGTTAGTGGAGGGAAGCTAAATGACGGGTGGAGAACGGAGGTGGCCGACAAGGATGTGAAAGTCATTGTTTTCGAATCTCTCTCCATCTCTGCCCCTGTCATAAATCCTATCTAGGTCTTTTGAGAGGACAGATTCATGGTTTTCTATCTCTCATCTGCCTGTTTGCATTCTTCTCTAGTTGCTTTGTTTGCAGTTCCATTGTTACAGTTTATTTTGAGGTATTTGGGCTGTCAGAGGCTTACATGTTGTCTACCAGTGTCTCCAGGGTCAGGGGACAACTCTTGTACTTAACAGTAAGATGACATTAGACAGTTTACTAACGGTAAATGGTTTGCATTCATGGAGCTTTTCGAGTCTTGATGACAACTCAGACGCTTTACAGCACAGTTTATTGCCATTCACCCATTCACACACATTCACACCGTGCATCTATGTGTCGCTCCTTCTCTATCATACATCCATCACAGCCATCAACCTGGGGTTCAGTATCAGTGCTCCCTCATTGCCACCCACCTCCTCTTTCCCCATTTCTCTCCGCTCACCCCAACCGGTCGAGGCAGACGCCCACACTGAGTCTGGTTCTGCCAGAGGTTTCTCCCAGTTAAAGAGGGAGTTTTTCCTCTCCACAGTCGCCACAGGGCTCGCTCATTGTGGGAACTGTTGGGTTTAATATGACAGCTTCTGACTCTGCTTCCTATGAGAGTAGGTATTTAGTTCAGTTTAGTTTAAAAACCAATAAATAAATAGAATAATAAAGGCACAGAGGTAATGACGTCTGATCTACTGAGCGGGCCACATGGCTTTCATAGCACTGCCATACAAGCCAGTAGCCAGTCAGATTTACCTTTAGCCTCTCTCAACATTATTGTGATTAATAGGCTGAAACACCTAATGACACCAATGTACAATTGTTATTATTTTCATTACAACAACCAGTCTTACAGAGCTCAAATGTGATAGTTAAACTCAAAAAATCTAACTGAATTAAATCCCTTTTTATTATAATTTATTCTTCTTCTAGCCATGGATTTTATTATCTTTCCTGTGAAGCACTTTGTAACTTTGTGCTATACAAATACAGTTGTCATCATTATTATCTTGCCTGAGGACACTTTGGTGTGGTTCATGAGGAAGATTTAGGAAAGAGAAAGTGATGTGCTGCATGAATGTGTGAGAGAATGGGAAGATGGCAAAACTGTAATATGAAGCACTTTGAGTCATCAGACTAGAGAAGCGATATATAATTACAGACCATTAACCCTGCGGAATGGGGGAGGCGGGGATCAAACATACGATCTTCTGGTTAGTGGACATCACGCCCCCATATATTGATGTGCTGATTATTGGTGTGTTTTGAGAGGAGATGAAGGGGATTGGGTCACAGTACAGATCAGATCAGCGTACCACCGCATCATGTTTGATATTTAAGGACTGCTGTGAAACCCACCACAGGAAGCATGTTGTTTTGGATCAGATTTAAGGTCTTATTATGTAAAGCACCTTGAGAGACTATATGTTGTGATTTGCCACTATACAAATAAACTAGTGAATGAACTGACATTATTTTTTTGTTTAGATGTGAATCTGTGTCGATGAGATGTGTTGTATTTAACTCTGAAATACAAAATGTTGCACAGACACTGGACTCTGGATTGTACTGTTAGGTGCTTTGAGTGGTCGACTAGAGAAGCACTATACAAATACAGAGCATTTACTTTACACAAGAGTGAGGCTGACCACAGTAAGAGCTCTACAGATACTGAGCCAAAGCTGTGATAGTGGAAGAGACGTGGGTTCTTCATGGAGTCCTGGTTACTGAAAGCTAAGTTTCAGCCTTTTTACTAAATAAAACCATCTGGTGGGAGTAATGTATCATTGCTATTTTACCATGGTTATTACAGAATGTACCAACAGTTCAGGAAGCTTCCAATCCAGGACTGTAGGGCAACATTTTCAACTCTGGAGAACGTTCACAGAATTGTGTTCAGACTTTCTCAGGAGTTTGCCTTTCTCGTATGATGAAGACAACAGGAGGTTCTCCATTCAGACACAACCCAGACATCTCCAGAGCATCCACGTGAGAGGTGGTGCAGCAGGCTGAAGCAGGACGTAACGTATAAATTCTACTGCAGAAATCACATGTTTTTGTTAACAGTGCTTCGACACCGGCCTTAGCCCGAGCACCAAAAGCTCTCCTGTCATGTCCGTTGGTGTCTTCTACGTGCATGGCTTCGCTTTTTCTGCCTCGTACTCTGACATTTTTGTTTTCACAAGCACTCCGGCAAATGTCAGGAGATTCTCCAGATTCAGTGGACGTCTGAAAGCAGCTATAATGTAGTTCCTGGCTTGGGGTGATACACAGTGATTGGTTTAAGAAGTTAACAAACCCCAGTTAGGGTTTGGTAAAGGCCAGAGAGACATGAAGAGCTCAGGTGAAGTAAAGATGATTTGACCATAGAGAGTGTGAGTCAGGAGGACAGGATCTTACATTGGTGACGTCTTGATGTACGTGGCATTTTTCACTTGAGGACACTCCACCGTCACGCATTGGAACCCCCCATATGTGTTCACACACAACTGGTTCACTGTGCAGTTGTGCATGCGGTTTTCACACTCATCGATGTCTGGACAAAGAAGAGCAGAGGGGAGGATTACAACCACAACTAACAAGTAACTGATAAGATGACCGGTGAACTCTGACCTTTGCAGCTGCGGCCATCACTGGCGAGGTCATATCCTGTTGGACAGAAGCAGTGGAAGCTGCCAGGAGTGTTCACACACTGATGGACGCAGAGCCGGCCGGGCTGACCGAGAGGAAACAGACGACACTCGTCGATGTCTGGAACACAGGACACAGGGTGGTTAGTGGTGGTTAGGGACAAGTTGGTTATTTATATGAAAATATTTATCACCTGTGCAGATGTTGTTGTCGCGGCCTGATATGGTGAAACCCACGTCACAGGTGCAGCGGGTGGAGCCCAGGAAGTGGGTGCAGTGAGATGGTCGGACAGAAGAGGAGGGAGGGGAAGATGTGGGTGATGAGGAGGAGAGAGTAGAGGCTGAAAATGCTGAGTAGGAAGAAGAGGTGGAGGAGGACCCTGACAGCGCAGCAGAGACAGGGAGGGATGAGGAGGAGGATGAGGAGGAAGAGGAGGAGGAGGAGGAAGAGGAGGAGGAGGAGGAAGAGGAGGAGGAGGAGGAGGAGGAGGGAGCAGCCGGAGAGAAGGAGGCCAGGGAGTTAGCGGTGCTGTTGAAGCCTGAGAAGAAAAAGAGAAAGACAACTTTAGAGGACAAATTTAGAAAAAGTAGCAACACTGCAGCCATGAAACCAGAGGGAGTGGTTCAGTTAGCTGATCCCTTGACTCACGTCTGCACATTGGCTGTTGGCCGCTCCACTTCAGAGACTCCAGACACACCCGGGTCCGTGGGCCAATCAGGTCATAGCCGGGTTTGCACAGAAAGTGAACCTCGTGTCCAACGCCAAACACCCTGCCCAGTCTGCGGCCGTGTGGGGGGGGCTCAGGTTTGGTGCAGGATACTGGACCAGATAGAGACATGTTGATTTACATACTGAGCTGATGTTACTCAACATGCTGATTATTGTTGGTTTGGGGCAGAAGTAGAGTGGGTGGTCCACTAACCCAGAGGTTAATCAATCAATCAATCAATCAATCAATCAATCAATCAATCAATCAATCAATCAATCAATCAATCAATACAATTTTATTTGTTTGGCTAATATTCACAAATCACAGTTTGTCTCATGAGGTCTGACATCCTCTGTCATTAACCCCCATCAAGGGTGCCTCATGAACTTTTCACAGAAAGTAGTAGACATGTTCAAGTTAGCAAGCAGGACGTTCTGGTAAACGTTAAAAGATGCAGCTAATGTGTTATTTCTATAAACCTGCTTGACATCTACTTCCTCCTCCTCATGGGTCACTGACATGGCCTGAGATGAAGATATTATCTCCGCCCCCTGCTACCAGGTGCACTGCCCCAAGAGACACCACAGTCATAAAGTGTCACCGTATTTCTCACATTTCCTGGCCGTCTTAAAGATGTCGATGGTGCTGTTGTGCAGAGCGCTAATCTTTTTCCTGAGGGATCGGAGGCCCTGTTGGTACGAGGCCTCGTGGACCGCCAGCATCTTCTCCACCTGTCGCAGTGAGGTCAGCAGGTTGTGAGTGGACGCACACTCCTGTGGGTGGGATGAAAACAAGATGACTGATTCCGATGCTGAGCGTAGTGTTTTTTATTTACAGTAAAAGAAAAGACCAGAGCGATAACGAGAGGGAAGAGTAAATCTGTGAGCCACAACAACAACACGTGAAAGTGGATCTTTGATCCAGCATCAATATAACAGCTTTAAAAGATAAGAATCATCAAACAAACATGCAGTTAAACAAATCTGTACAACAACAACACTAATGTGTAGCTACATCATGTTATTAAAGGGACTCACACTGTCTACATGTATTTTTCCGAGTGGACGATGACACCAGACTAACTTCAGTCTGTCTCCTGTTTCAGGTGTGAGCTCCAAACATAGAGGTGAGGTTTTCAAACGCACACTAACACCTGGGTGAAAACTGGCCCGGGGCCCTGACCTCACACTGCTGCCATCAACACAACGTAATGCAACACAACACAACACAACACAACACACTGCTGCCAGCAACACACTACAGCCTTTAAAACAACACACTACTGCCATCAACACAACGTACCACAACACACTGCTGCATCAACAAAATGTAACACAACACAACACGCTGCCATCAACACAAAGTTACACAAAACAACAGAAATACAACAAAACAAGAGGCTGCAGCCACATAATGAACGTGTGGTGTGTGGATTGACACAGTGGTGGATATGATGAGGGTGAACTTGAGTTCAGTGTGTTCAGGACATTATAGAGTGTTTTTAAAATCAATAAATATCATTTTATTTCTTAAATCAAGGAGAAGTAGCTCATCATAATCAAACTGATACCTGCTATAATAATTCAGTCACTACTCAAAACAGAAAGTCTCACTCACACTCATCTGTTCCAACTGATTTCAGGTTCAGTTAGGAATAAACTGTGTTCATGTTTGCATACCAAAACCTGAGACTTCTTCCATCTCAAAAAACAAAATTCATTTCTCACCCTTCACTTCCCTCAGCTGAGTCTCTCAGCTGAATACTTACATTTGTGTGTCCTCAATTATTAACAGTGTGCAGCACCAAACAGTATTTTGTCAATCATTTTTATTTTCTTATTATTTATTATTTTATAACCAGCTCTGACTGATTTGATCTTCATCAAGTAACAAACATCAGAAAAATTATATTTTCAGAAAATCATTGGATTCAACTATTTTATCCCTTTGATAATTTGTATATCAGACGTATATAACATATATCAGCTACTACAATACAGACTCATGTAATGTATCATATCATTTTTCAGTCCTCAGAATCAAAATCTTTACTGAAAAAGAGGGTTTCATCTCAATAGACCTTGAGACTCTTAAAAAGGCTCACAATAAAAAGACATTTGCTTTTTAAAATTCTGCACACAATCTTACACAGATTTAAAATGTTCTCTTGATTTAAAAGTCTACTCTGCTCTAAAAGAGTTTTCTGGTGAAGAAAAGACAATAACAGCCATTACACTGAGTCAGTAACAACAGCATTACCCAATAAAAATCATTTGAATGATCAAGTCCCCAAAAAAGTTGATTTTTACTGCCTCTGTTTATTATCCCTTATTAGAAATAGTTTTAATTGACTTTATTAAATACATGTACAAATATTTAACACATTCATGTTAAGAGTTCAATGAATAAAACTACATTTCAAGCTGCACTGGTGTGGTAAACATTAATATATACATTGCTCAGTTATGCTTCTTGGAAGAAAGAAAGTTTACATGTGACCCAATCACTGGTTACAAGCATCTTGTGGACATGACTAAACTTTCAACTTATATTATATTATTAGAGATGTGATAAGCTGAAAGTGTCCAGTATTCCACAAAAAAAACAATAAATAAAAAACACATCAGAATAATTTGTTGCGATCCGCAGGCTGGGCACCACTTTTCTAACAAATATATGAATCTACCATGTGAGGACGTGACGAGGAACAGACACCGCTGTTAGAAACCTCTGCACACAGAGAACATGACTATCCTCAGTAGAAACACCAACACATTCCGTCATGTCACCTGTACTCACCTGAGCAAAGGAGGAGCACATGTGATGAAGACTCAGCAGCAACATAACGAGCCCAGTGGCCTTCATCCTGATGAACCCTCAGCCGGACAGAGCAGGACAAGCAGGAGATCAGCTCTGTGTCTTCAGCTCCTCCACCGCTCCTCCAAACCTAAAGCATCTCCTCTCTCTTGCTCTGTTTCTTTTTGAGGGCTCTTGCCAAATTTCCCTCACTGACAACCACCCTCCTCCACCTCCTCTGTGTCAGGTATTGTGGAGGAGGAGGAGGAGGAGGAGTGCAGCTCCCACATCTGGAACACACTTTCACTAATTTTGAACTATCAGCATGAACCCAAAAATAAACTGGTAAATTATAAGGAGAGTCAGCTGGTGGTGTCTTTTAATCATCATCTGCACAACAAAGGAGCTACACTGTGGTGACTACTTCAAATTCAGGAATGTGACTTCTGCTCCAATTACGGCAACTTTAAACTCCCACTTTTTTGAAGCCTTAAAACATGCTCTCTTGCATTATAATGCCATGTGGCTCCTAAATGACAGGGCGTCTGATGGCCCCGCCTCAATAGCCTGCCCCTCCACCCCCTGCCCCTCCAGAAAAGAAAGTGCATGAATTGAATAGATCCTAAAAGCACCCTGCCGCAGCTACAAGTCCACACTTAAATCTTACAGACTAAGAGTCATATATATAAGGCACGATAATGGCAGAGTATGAACACACGCTATAATCTCCTATAAGCACTTCTACACACGACTCCATGGAAATCCTTAGAAGAATGTGGATTTGAGAAAAGCAAATAAAACATTACAATTGCTGGTTTTGACTGATCCCCAAAAAGGCCAGATTTTTGTCCCTACACATTCCGAACAAGACCTTGAAGCCATGAGTATCTAATTAAGGCCACGACCAAGCACCACTACTGCTATAGAAATGTTCTGTGGATTTGTCCTTGAAAGTCATTAAAGATTTGTGAAAGTGTTGCCTTTTCTAGGAACCATGTACCCAAACATTTTTTTATTGTTTCCATACTTCGCATTTGTATTTTTGTTCATCGCATTTGTACAGAACTGCGTGTCTCAGAAATGAATATGTTAGTTCCTCTTGAGAAATTCAAATCCGTGGTTGATGGCCATTTAGCTTTATCTTCTGTATTTATGTTTTATTTGATTTTCCTTAATGGCTTTATGTGTTTATTTATTCACTCTAACTGTATATCTTATATATAATTTATTGTATCCTATCACTCAACATTATTGCAAGCGAAGGCCTCCCTCAATGATTCCTCGAGTCTAAATAAGGTTAATAATAATAATAACAATAACTTGCACAGGCCTTCAGTGTCATTGAAAGTTTGTTTATTTGAACAATAATAAAAAGTAATTAGAAAATCCCTCCTGCCTAGTGCTTGCTGCCGGGTCCGGAGAGAGACTCATTCAGTTTGAGAGAGAGAGAAACTGTACCACTTTAAGAGAGACAGAGAGACAGAGAGACCCAGAGAGAGAGATAGAGAGGGAGAGAGAGAGAGAGAGAGAGAGACCCAGGGTGAGAGAGACACAGAAAGACACACAGAGAGACCCAGGGTGAGAGAGACACAGAAAGACTTTAGAGAAAGACACACAGAGAGACACACAGAGTGAGAGAGATATTATAAAAGTTGCATGTTTATAACATGATCCAGTTTGGTGAGATAGAGAGACTGTGCCAATTTGAGAGAGAGAGAGAGACAGAGAGAGACTGTTTAATTTTGAGAAAGATAGAGAAACTGTGCCAGCCTCCTTTTGGGTTTCCTGGCAACATCCTGTAACTATCTGGGGGATTTTTACCACCTGGGTGCTTTAAGTATGAAAATCCAGCCTCCTTCAGTCTTCCTGGTAACATTTTGTAACTATCTGGGGGAGGTTATTTTGAAAATCCAGGCTCCTTTTAGGTTTCCTGGTAAGGGTCTCTAATTATCTGGGGGGTTATATTTGGAAAATCCAGCCTCAATGTGACAGGGGAGCGAGTTAGAAAAGTGTGACTTTTCATACTGACATTTCTGAGAAGACCACACGTTTTCCTACGATTTGATCTAAAAATCATGAATGACGACCTCTATTTGTGGCTTTGAGAGCAGTTTAAGAACATTGGTATTAGAATTCTGTCAGAGCGTCTCTCACTCTAGAGATGATCTGTCATCTCTTATTTATGCACACAGAATAACAATAAACACGAGCAATAATAGTAACACATAATAATAGCAACACATAATTATAATAGTAATATGGTGCTTGCACCACTAGGCACATATAATTAAATGTTTCTGAAACATAAAAAGCACCAAGGTTAAGGTTGCTGGTCCATCCTGAAACTTTGTAGAGTTGACAGATTTCCCCACCCCAAGCAGGAGGGAGCGTTATGAATGAACTGATATAGTAAGCACTAAATAAACAGATGAATTGACATTATGTCTGGTGGAGTCGTTGGATCCACCACTGAAATTCATGGTCTCCAGAGGATGAGGTGTAATGAATGTGTTGATTCCCTGAGCTATTGTAAAAATGTGACTTATAACTGGACAAAAAGGCAAGTTGTGACTGTTCTGGTGGCCATACACAACACTGACATGTGCACAAAGGTGACAAATGACGCCACGGATAGGCAACCAAATATTACGCACTGTTACCTTGATTAAAACAACAGATTTCTGCGGGTTTGAAAATTACTGGAAACTTTTGGGATGATGCAGGTACAGAACTCAACATATATATATACACACTTGACTCCATCGAGTCATGTGGATATGTCGTCAAAGATGGCAACAGGTCATCAAAGAAGCAGGAAAGAACAGGAAGTGAAGTGATCACCATTGAAAAACAGAGGAGACAGGAAGTGAAGGTCAAAAGAAAACAGAAAATGACCCAACTCGAGGGATCAAAGGAAAGTAACTACACTCATGCGGAGACAACAACAAAGAGACAATTACACACAGAATATAAGCACAAAAACACAAACACACAAAAGCAAAGTCCAAACACAAGTCCATAACTTAAATCAACAGTCCAAAGAAATATCAAGGGTTCCCAGTTGAGACCAAAACATGGCAGTCAGAGGAATGAGGCCAAGTCTCCTCAGTGTAGAGAATGTTATGATACCTTGTGGATTAGAACATGTAAATGATACAGTGAGACTCACTGGTGTGAATACACAAATTGACTATTGATGCAATACAGCTGATGTCCACCATGTGGGACTTCTGTGTATGTGAGTGTGTTATTGTTAAATGTAAATCAGAAATGTTTCCTCACATGTGGATGTAAAATGCTTATTTATGTGAGTGAAGGGACTAATCACAGTTTGAAGCTTTGATTGCAGTGTAACCTCCTGACGGCTCACGGCTCTGAAAACAAAGATGATTACAAACCTTTGTCTGGCCACAGTCAAACACAAGCTCCCTTTGTTTCTGAAATTCATGTCAGTTTCACATTGTTTGTGCTGTTTTCTTGTTGTTTATGTAGAAGTATTCGATCAAACAGGAGGCCTTCATGAAAACTGTCCTATAGTCCTCTAATACATGCAGTGGTGGTATTCATACTGTTTATTTGAGTAAAGGTACCAGTACAATAATATGAAATTACTCCATTACAAGCAAGAGTCCTGCAATCGATATCTTACTTACTAAAAGTACAAGTCACAGTAGAGAAATAAGTTTTCAGTTAAATTACTAAAAAGGGAAAAAGATTGAACTGCATACCCGCTCACTCCTATGACCTACATCCCACTTGCTGTCAATCAATGCATAGCATTAAGCTGAATTGCACCATCTTTTACAAAATGAGCATCATTTTGTATTAAAGAAAATTTGAATTGAGCACATAAACTCTGAATTAAAATGTTTAATGATGTGAGCGAGAAGGGAGAGGTTCAGATTTCAGGCACTTCTGCATTGTGCTCAAAATGTTTTTAAATCATTCTGTGCCGTCAAGGCCAAACTTCTCTGTTATGAAATGAAAAAAGAATGTTAACTCCATCTGCGGCGGATCGTCCTCCACCTCCTGTCTTTGAATGCAGTCTG